ATATATATATAGTTAATAATCAAATATACAAATAAAAATAAAATGTGGGTTGAAATAATACTTTCCTATATTTTACATCTTTATAATAGAATTAAGCATTTTTTTTTATCTTTATATTTTTGCTTCATGTTCGTTTTGTTTGTAAAGGAGGCATACAACCAAAAATAAATTTAAAGCAAAGTTGTTTAAATATAATAGAGTAGTTTATTATTTAATCTTTGAAAAATGTGAGCATGTTATTTTATTTTTGGTGAATCTCCATGATGTTTGAGTTTGTATAAAAACGTTGTTTGTAAAAAAAAAATTCTCAAAAAATATATAACTAAATATTAATTAACTTGTATGATGTGTGTGGTTGTTTTTTTTTACATAGGATGTGAAAAAGAAAGAGAAAAAAATAAGAATATATAGAAACTCAAGAAATTAACTAAATTCGTCAACTCAATAACATCAACTAATAACAAGGGGTTAAGAAAATCAGGTTCAACTACTAAAATCGTAAGATTTTCTTGAAATGATGTGACTTTTTTTGGCCAAAACATCTACACACATTACCCTCCCGAAAAATATGTGATAGAGAACAATTCCAACTTCTATTTAGAAGACTGTGGATTTCTACAAATTCATTTACGTAACAGTATATTTACAAAAAGAATATAAAATTAATGGATACAATATGTTTACAAAAAAATTAAAATTAATTAAAAAAAAATTCACTAAAAGAATAGATGTTGGAATGTTGTGTCAAATTTATCAAATAAAACTGTAATATGTTTTTTTACAACAATAAAACTGTAATTTTTTTACACCAAATAAAACTGTAAACCTAAAAATTAATAGAACAACTTTAAAAGGTTATAATAGGAAGTCCAAAAAAAATTGTATTGTAAAATATTTCATAATCAAACTCAAACTTTGAAAAGCTAATACTATAGGATTCCGACATAACCATGTTTCTTGGGGACGGGGGACTTACAATTTTTTTCTTTTCATTTTTAGTTTTAAACAACTTAAAATTCCCATCTTATTAATAAATAAAAACTATATTTTGTGTTGAGCTAGGACTCACACACTATACATGATAGTCATGTAACCATTGAAATCTTTTATTATTCCTTGAATAGCATGTATAGCTTTATAATATGATTGTGTTTTATACATTTAGTGTCTAGTTATAATGTGAGGGTGTTCAAAAGAGGAAGACCAATTCCATTATGGCATTATAGTTATTGCACTTAAAATATGTCGAGACAAATGTAGTTTATGGCTTTAATAATAATGTACAATAGTCTAGATATCAAATTTAAATTTAAAGGTCTAAAATCATAAGCATTAGTTTATTGAAGATTTTATATTGTTTAAATAAACAATTTTTGTGAAAAAAAGTCAACGTAGGTAAGAAAACTCAAATTTAGAATGAGAGTGTGAAGTTGAACAGGATTCAAAGATTTAAGAAGTTCAAGATTACGACATCCATATTCTCCCAATCTTAAATCAATAATCTAAACATAATAGCTAACTCTGCCTCTTAGATTGCTAATTATTTTTCATCATTGAAATTAACCGTCTTTATTTCATACGAATTCCTAAATTTGTCATGTGAAAATTCATACGGAACAAAATAAAAAAAGACAAAGAGGTTAATTAAATAGATTAATTTAATTGAAAGTTCAGAAAATTAATTTAATGATGCAAAATTCTAACTTTATTGTTTTGTAGGTCATATCTTATTAATTAATTATGACAATACTCCCATCAATCAATTCTTTGTATGAAGACAAATCAATGAAATACAGAAAAGGCTCAAATAATATAACATTGGATGATCAAAGGTTGAAAGTACATACAACTCTAGCATGTAATTTAGTCAAACATAACAGAGAGACGATATTACCATAAACATTCACCTCTTTGGTATTCACTATTCACAGCTAAGCTAAAGAGTGGATGTGGATCCTGTGTAGCAACTCCATCTTTTACTCATGCTTTCTCTTCTACCTTAATGCTTTCACACCTACACACAATCCAATTTCTCATAATTAATAAAGCTTATCTCCAACATAATCATGCTTCTGTTTTCACTTTTAAAAAGGATCGTCTATGATACGTACATGTAAGCTGCTAATGTTTTACTATATACTACATGTTATCACTTTTTAATTTGCAGGACATGTAATTTGACCCTTCTATAGTAATGAATTTAGCATTTTAGAGTTCATGAGTTAATGTTAGCCACAACTATGATTTGGTTCAGATCAGATGATTTAGATATATTGCTGATCCATTTAACAGGTTAGTAAACTTTTCCATAAACACCATCGAGTAAAATAAAAAAAGAAAAATAAAATAATTATTTTCATAGGTTAAAATAAACTTAAACATAAATTAATTTGTAAAAACTCTTTATTATTAACTTTCTCAAAGTTTTATTTTTAATATTATACATAAGTTAGTATTAGCTTTTATGGAAAAAAATTCTAATGCTTTTATAAAAACTTATCCAAACATGTCTTTAAAATACTATTTTAACACATACAAAACTATGATATATTATTTTTCGAAATATAATGTTAACGGACTAATGACCAAATAAAGAACCCAAAATAATTAAGAAACTGGACTCTTTTTTAATATTTTTTCTTACTTTAGATTCATATAAAGAACTGTAGATTATATTCAACAATTATAGCTAGCTTAATTTACCAATATGCGTATTCTCGTACCGTATATTGTGAATAATTAATTTGATTACTTATAGCTGAAAGTTCAAGAAAAATTAATTTTGCCTGAATCTAAATAATTTAAGACATAAAAAATGAAGAGATAAAAAGGAAGTTGTGCGTTTAAAAGCAAGTAACTGAAAGGAAAATAAATTGTAAAAAATAGTAACCGGAAAGTGAATAAAATGCTTGAAATGTGAATCGAAGATTAAAATAAAAAGGAGTAGAATTGGATGAATTTAAATGACTTGAAATGTAAAATAAAAAAAAAAACAAAAAAAAACCTCGAGAAGTAAATCAAAGCAAAGAGTAAAAGGCAAGAAAGTTTAGACTAATATAGTATGTTCAGAGGAGAAATTTTAAAATTTTAAAATTACTTTTATTTTAATTTTTATCATTTTTTAAATATTTTATTTGGACAAAAATCATTTTAAATTTCATAAATTTTAAATTTTTAGTTTGAATGAAACAACTTGATTTCGATCATGAGTAAAATTGATTATTTATTATATATATTAAAATTTTAATTTTAAGATCATATTTTATAAAAATAAATATTGACCATTTTAAATATTTAATAATTTAAAATTAATATTTAATAACTAATTTTTTTAAAATATTTCATTAATAAATAAAAAAATTAATATTCTTTATGTCTATTATGAATGCGAGGAGATGGAAGTAAGAAAAAAAAAGAGATAAAAAAGATAGAAGAGAAAAAAAGAAAAAGGAGATGGATAGAAAAGAGAAATAGGAGAGAAAAAGAGATATTAGAGAAAGAAAAGTAGTAATAAGAGAAACAAATTTAAAATATGTGAACATTTTATGTTTTAGAATAATTTATTATATTTATTATTTTCTTAAAATCATTAATATATATATATATATATATATTATAAAGCATTTGAATTTACTAAGAATATTTTTATATATATTATGAATCATGATAAAATTAAAAATTTTCATATTTATATATAAAGTTTGAGAAACAAATTGAATAAAAAAAATTTACAAAACCCTCCTCTACTTCAACAAATAAAATTTTATTGTTTTTTTTTAAGTTATTTTATTTTTATAAAATAATTTAAATTATTTGCACTAGTATTTAGTGAGAGAAAAAATTAAATTAATTACTTAAATTATATGTTTGTCAATAACACATCATTTAATATAAAAGAAAAAAAAAAAGATAAAAGAAATACACTTTAAGTCATTTTTATTAAATTTAAAAACTAACCGTGCTAAAATATCTTAATTTAAGATTTTGATACAAACACGTCGAAACGCCTGAGATCAGTTATTTAAGATTTTGGTATCAAACTCAATAAGGACCACACTCGATTGTGGGCAATTATTTTCTGACTTGAAAACCAAGTTCTTGTCTCCAAATCTTCTATTTGATAATCGATCATTTTTCTTCATCAAACTTGACTTTGTGATTTCGAATACGATGCCGAAGTAGATACCAGCTGTTTCATTTCTACACACAAAAAATAATTGTTTTTGCACCTTTATTCAATCTAAATATCATTAGAAAGAACTGTCAAATCTTCGTTGACTCCAAACATTTCCAACAGAGAGCTCCAAATGGAAGAAATCGAAGCAGAAGAATGTTCTAGTTTTGGCCGTGGAGCTATCGATGTTTGATCAGTTAAATACGGCACTATATAAGTTTTCATGTCATTACGAGAGATATCCAGATGATCTCCTGATACGTTGATGAATTTAACTTTCCCAGCTTCGTCAAGAGCTCTCAAACCTATCCAATCATCAATGTAGAGCTCAGTCTGCACAAAACAAAGCATACCTTTGATATCAGATGTCTTAATATCAAATATGATTGAACAAACATGCAAAACGCTAAAAATGGGTTGGATGCATAACCATTAAAAAGAAAATAAAAACTGCCACAATATATCATGACAATATAATGCAATCACTTGGCAAGAAACTGGTCACGGAACATCGGGCCCTGGAGTTATTTCTCATTTCAATCATTAAAAGCTATAGCAAGCTCATTTAATTAAAGAAAGAAAAAAAAATCCACAAAGATTATTCAAGAATTTTACCGGCATCACATTCCTTGAAAAGAATCTGTTATAATCAGCATGTTTCAATACTTCTCTCTATAGTAAGTGGCCAAATCAATGCTTATGGAGAGTGATTTTCGTGAAGGTTGACCTTCGTGATAGACAAGTTCAATTTCTCTGCCCTCATCTACACTAGCCCGGACTCTTATATTATACAACCTTATTAAAATAAGAACTCCTCAGAAAGAAAAAAGATTCGGGAGAGGCAATGAGACAGCTCTAGACAGTAACAGAATAGTAATCAGGCAATAGAAGACAGCTTGTTATTTCTCCCGCCTGGCAACTTCTTATGACAAGGAACAAAAGCCAATATACATCAGATTAAACAAGGATAATGGTCGATGATGACTGATAGAATACTGGTTTAGAATGTAAAGACCAAGAGAAAGCAAGAAAGGAAGTTTTATTGAATATTCTCTTCCTATGCTGGACCAGTGGAACCCAAAGAGACAGTAAAAATAGCTTATATATAGTACAAGTCTTTCCCACCAAATTTGAGAGCCTAGACTTTCCCACCAAAAACTAACTTATCAACTGTTTATGTTTCCCTACCTACTGCTATTATTTATAACAAACCTAACTAATTAACTACTCTAATAGTTTATAACGTGATGCTTGTTATTTCTTTTTTCCTGGTAGATGTTAAGTATATAGTAACATACTAATATAAATTACATTTAAGTAAATGAGGTCTAATTTGCAATAAAAAAGAGAGAACAAGGGCTAAATGCAAATAAAAGAAAAGAGGAAGGGGTGGAAGAAGAAAGAAAAGGAAGATAAAATAGAAGATCTGATACTCTGCTGTTGCACCAGCCATAGATAGAAAAAAAAACGAACTGGAAGATCAGAGATAAACTGTTAATTATGTTTAAATGTATTATATTCATGTACTGTTCCTGCTTTTTTATGTCGATAAGTCCTTTTGTAATCTAATTTAAGTCCTTTCTATTTTTGTTACAATTTTTCTGTTCCGGGTTTGAGTGTCTTGATTACACCTAGTAATGTTATCATATAATCTAGAATCATATGATTTGTATTGTAATGTATCAGTGCCTGTTCTGAGGCTGAACTGCAATTTATATTGTTATCTGCAACCCTGGATTCAGGTAATCCATGATAATCTATTATCCATTCAATTTGACTTAAGCAGAAAAAAAGATTAAAATGCTTTTAGGATGCAAATGTAAAATGCCTAGATATCGAAGAACCCATTCTTTGACATTTTAATTATTTTATTTTGCATATCCAAAAATCTTGCTTCATTGAAGTGGTATCCCTTCTTCCAATGGAGGCTGGTGTACCAGAGGTGATCCACTGTAAGTTGTCATACACTCATATCTCATGGAGGGGGGAGGTCAGAGAATTACACATAAAGTCACAGGCAGCAGCAAAGCAGCTAAGAAGATGGGTATGCAACATTGCAACAATTAACTACAGATAACTACAGATGTGGAATGCTTAACTTACCTGTTGCACAGGTATAACAGGATGGAGGGCTCCATTTGGATAATAACCAAACCATGCTGTTTCCTTTGGTATTAAAACTTTATCCTCTTCAAACTAGTTTCATGCAGACAAGACAGAGCAATACAAATTAGTCATGTTGACACAATAGTTGTAAATTGGACAACTCCAAATTATCAAGAGAGATTAGAGGATGATTACATATTTCTTCTAACGCACCATTATGAGAATCAAATTCTGCAAGTTAGTAAACCGTTGCCTGTAGGTGGAATTCCTCTTATTTGCGATTTCATTATTAAGCTTTGGAAGGAACCTACAACCCTCAGTATAGCCAGCTATATCCTGAAAATGGATTAAAAAAAAAAGAAGGTTTCCACTCATCTAATTTGTGAGTCATAGAAGCACTTGATGGGATTGCAACCTATGGTCTACCCTCTGCTCAAGTCCATAATGGGGAAATTTTGATTGGATATATATGTCATTGACCACGGACAGAGAATCAAGTAGTTCAGTAATGTGTAACATGCAATTAAGCAAGCAGCAAAAGACAACTTCAATGAAATGTTACTCCAGTAAAAAACAAATATAATTGACACAAGGCAAGTCAAGACTGCAGTGTATTAGGATATAGCTAAAGTGTGTGCTTAACTGGCAGCTGCTACTACTCATACAGCTGACGGTAGTTGTTTATTTTATTATCTTTTGTAATATTAGTTATAGCACTTAGAGTTGTGCAACTGACAGCCCTGTTATGTGGCTCACCATCTACACTAAAAATTAGAATCCCTAACTTGGAGAGTGAAGCTTTCACTCTCCCCTTTCTTAATTGAGATTCTCAACACTCTCGCTTATCTTCTTGGAAGGTGCATTTCACACACTATCTCTGTAACTAACCAAAACAAATATCTCTCTCAATCATCTCAAACTACTCTTCTTTTATTTTTTTACTTGTATACTCGAGTTTCTTAACCACCTATTTCTATTTCAATTTAAAAATAACCATATATTATAATTTAAATTAAATATTAATACAAAATATAATTTTTATATTTAAAATAACTTATTATAAATTTTAATTATAATATAATTTATAATTTTAAAAATATGTAATTATTTATTTATTATGAATAATAATTACAATTACAATTACAATTAGAATTATACACAAATAAATATTTATCCTCTGCCATAACAGGCTAAAGTACTAGTTTTCTATATAAATGTATCTATACCCTCAGATTATTACCAAAATATACACTTTTCTCCCAATTTTGTTTTCTCTCAAATTATATTAACCAGTTTTCTCACACTTAGTGATGCAGTATAAAGAATGGAATCTAATCTCATTGCATGGCTGAAATGTTTGAAGATTGAAAACAAATTTGATGAAAATATAATAACAAAAAAGAATTACTTGAAAAAAATCCAAGATTATACTCACTATTGGTATTTTAACATAGCCACTGGGAGCCAGATTTTGCTGCACCAAAGCATTGGAGAAAGATATAAGGAAGTCATCTGTTTAATAGATTCAGAAGGAAAATATTTAAAAAATGAATGCAACACATACATAAAGACATCCAAACATCTACTTTGCAGAAGACCATAATTATCAAGTAAAGTTAATACAAAAAAGACTGAAAAATTGAAGTCAAAACCTGGGCAAACCGGCTGTAGATCCCTAATTGGAGTACAATATCAATAAGGGTGCATACTGACTCAGACTGAGAAAGAAAAAAAAAATCATGTTAGACCATCATGCTAAGACAACTCTGTAACAAAATTACAGATAAGTAACAGCTTAATTATTCAAATTATTTACTCAATCACAGACATGACGAGCATTAAGGATCAATATATCATGGTCTACCACATTTTGTGAAAAGGACTTACTGTGGAAATAAAATAATTTATTGACAATAATATGATTGCAATAATATGCTTATTATTTGTTGACATAGTATAATAAGAAGATCATGCTGATTTTATCCTCTTAGAATAGTGGATTTAAGCCTAACTCAACCCTACAAAACTGTCTTGTAAGGTGAGGATTGTTCTCCACTTATATATTCTTTAATTATCTTATCTCTAGTCGATGTGGGACTTAGATTTTTTCCAATACACCCTTTCACGTCCAGCACTATTGGGCTTGATACGTGGATAAATGGTGAGTGACCCTTTTTTAATAATCTAAGATAGGTAGCCCCTTTTAAGGATTTAGGATAGATCTGATACCATCTTATCAGAAGCGGAAGAAATCATTCTTCTTTTTTTATTCAAATGATTGGTCTAGTACATAAATAGGTAAAACAAGGAGATAAAAAAGGAAACAAATAATAGGCAATTCCTATAATTAAATAGGAATCCCTATAAATCAGTAACAGCAATAAAGAATAAATTATAGACCCTAATCCCTGAAATTCTGCAACATAATAATATCCATAAATTTTGGGATTCCTATCCAACAGATCCCATACAAAATTATAATGCAGGATTGCAAGATAAAAAAATTTGCACCTGATTTAAATCTATAGATTAGCATCAGGGCAGATTCCTACAAAGCAATGGTTGTTCGTTCCATAACAACACAGGCAGCAAGATCCTTAAGAAGAAAGAAACTTTAGTATCACGTTGGTAGTGAAGCAGCAAGCAGCCATGGAGAAAGAGTGGCAAAAAGAAGTCTAGAAAATGGTGGGAATGATGCACCATAGTTTAACCCATAGATCTAAGTATAGCTATTAGTCATCAATGATGCAATGAGAGAACCAATATGTTGATTGGAGCTAACTTTAACAGCATTCATTGACTATAGACTTGCTATTAAGCAAAGGAACTACCTGCCAAGTTCCACTAGAATTTTCAATGCAGTCATTTCCTCCACTATAGTCAGTCGCCATCCAGACCATTATAGAACCTCACTTTTAGTATTTACTATTTAGAAATAGATAGAGGACAAACATGTGACAACAAAAAAAAATGTGGGGGACAACCGACAATGGTAGCCTAAAAGGATATAAATCTGGTGAGGGTTATGTATAGAGCAAATACCTTTATGAATAGTAGCAGGAGGCAACACCAAGGCAACTAAAGGGAATGAAGAAGGGGAGTGCAGCAGTAGGAGGATCAGGACTAATGAAAGAAGAATGGCAAACCCAAAAGACAATGAACAAGTGTGGAGGAGAAAAGGTTTTGACTCCTCCAATAAGGTAATTGGTGCCCACTATTCAGAGTGAAGCTCTTGAATATCCTTTCCACAGGTGTGAATGGTCCCGGAAGATACACCTAAGGGGGCAGGAAAGTGATCCTAAACCTTTTATAGAGCTGTCATTTTAGGAACCATGTTAATAAAGGTTTCTTAAGAATGGGGAAAGGAGAATAAGATGAACTACTTTCAAAAATCTACAAAAAAAAAAAAACATTTAAGTTTGCAGTCTTCTGCATGTCTGCAGATGGGACTAACATGTGTAAAGCAATGTAGACAGAAATACTAATGGATCTTCCCAATAAGTCTCTTTACTAAGACATGGTGGAAGGCTATGATACCAATAGATATGAACCTTGGGAGAACCACACCACAAAAGCTAATCACTGTAGTTAGGTAGCCCAAAGCCTTATAAAAACCATACTAGAGTCCAATACTTTCAATGTGGGACTCAAGTCCCATACCATGTAATTGAATCCAAATACTACAATGTCAGCTTCACCACTCACCCCATTCATTTGTAGCTAAGAGGCATGATGGAAGACTCTAATACCTTGTAATTGAATCCAAATACTACAATGCCAGCGTCACCACTCACCCCATTCATTTGTAGCTAAGAAGCATGATGGAAGACTCCAATTGATAAGAGGAATTTTGGAAGAATCACACCACAAAAGGTATCACTCTAGTTGAAAAGTCCAAAATCTTATAAACTCCACACTAGAATCCCATACTTCTAATGTGGGACTCAAGTTTCATTCCTTACAATCGAATCTTAACACAGTATCTCTATTTTCTTTCAGTTTTTGAGTTCTTTTCATTAGTTATAGATCTCCCTCTGCTATGGATATCACCTTAATGACATCAGAATAAGGGAAGAAATTCCAGTGAATGTTTTTAATAAAAAAATGCCTCTGATTTTCAGTTTCCCATTATTAATCAAGATGCAAGATCATTTTCTACCTAATTAAAGAAAGGCAGTGAGGTGTGTGGGATGCATTCTGGTGTTCCACCGGATTACAAGGAACCTAGGTGGGTCTGCTTCAGACAGAAAAAATGAGGCACTAGATGGGCAGACTATGGGAAACTAGCTTTGAAGGGTGTTAGTACACCTTTGTAGTATTGGGCCCAGAAGCCCAGTAGTACAGGTTGTCTGCATATAATTATCCTTGTACTCGTTTTTTATTTTTTAAAAAATACAATCAGTTCAATACAAAGGATTTGGTTCCCTGGTTTAGGGGGAAAAGTATACAAAGCAGGCGGCAATAACCAAAACAACTGCTTATTCAACCAAATGCAGTTCAACAAAAATATGCAAGATCAAGCCACATGCTCACACTCAAACCTCACACTTTTTGTTGTCCACAATGTGTGATTTGATTTTATCCTTCCAAAGGACAATAAAAACAAGGATATCCTCTCATTCTATGTTATTGCATGCATAATCATTGAGATAATTTCCTGATTGATAGCAATGTCCACGAGACTGACAGATAGAATAATTTGAAAATTGATACATATGTATCTGGTCAGGCAACCTTATTTATTACACTTATTAATAACACATTTTGCTAAAAGAACGTTTCATTAGTATCGGCATTTCTATATAAAAAGGCAACATCAGGTGGATGAAGTTCATCTACAATGTTTACCCAACTTAACCTTAACAAAAAACAAATAGAATATAGAGTAATTTCAGAGACTAAGAGCAGTAGTAGAATAAGCACATACTCCACATAAAGGAACAGAAGCGGTACCAGCATGTGGACCTCCCAATGATATAAAATTCTTAACCTGTATCACATAAAATGAATAAAAGTATAATACACTACATTAAATTAAAATATGGTACAAATAGAATAATAAATAATAGCTACAAAAACTTGGAATGTGTTCAAGAAAAAAAGCGCTCTCAAAGAATCAAACACTAAAATGCAATGTCAGGATTTCTTCAGATTTAGACGTAATAAAAGTGCAATATCACAAATCATAAAGTCAGTTCTTACAGGAGGTGATCCATCACAAAATTCAATTATTCCTCTACCAATCAAGTTTCCCTGATAACCAAAAGAACCAATATGCTGTTAATATAGAAAAAACTAAGTCAAAAACTGAAAATTCACTTAAGAGAATATTAGAAGTTATAAAAATAAAGAAAAACATGCAGGAGGAGAAATTAAGATCAGAAATATTTCCTAATAAAAAAAATCAAAACTATTTATATTGAAATCCAAATTATAACAAGAATTAATAGGCAAACATAAGTGCAGTAAATAAACACTGTCCATGGCCGATTTGGGAAGACTTTTCCCACATAAAGACAATAAATGTAAATTTCCTTTATTTTCTGAGCTGTACTTTCTATTATGGGAATGTGTACAAAAATTACATTGATTGTGCTAGTTGATTCATGTTGTACTGCACAGCCAATAGAATCCTAATAAAATACTGCTACAAGGTTTAATGGCAACAGATAACAGTCCATTTATTGGTACACCTATAAAAAGGGCAGTCCCGTTAATAAAGCTCCCACCAAACAATAGACATATTGAAAGAGTCAAATCTCCTAACCAGTGAGCGGAGAGCTTTCTGCAACTTAAATCCAATTAAAACAGTAGACCTCATGAAAAAAAATTAGTCTACAACTTGAATTTAATTTCGAAATTAGATGCTAAAGGAAATACATTTTGGGATGAAAGACTATTCTTGTTCTTGCGCCTCTTGCAAGAAAATAATTTCCATAATTTCACTATACAACAGTGTTTTAAAAACTGGATCGAACCGGCCGGTCGGACCGGTTGGACCGGGAATCGGTGGTCCAGCTGGTCTGAATCTTAAGTTAGATCGGTTATGCAGTCGACCTGTTTCAAACCGGATTGAACCAATCAATTTTTCGGTTCAACCGGTGGGTCAAACCGGTTCAACCACACTTTTTTTTTTATTTTTATTTTTTATTTTTTAAGGGACCATAAACCACAAAAATAATAATAAAAATTGAATCTCTTAATGGAAGAGGAAATAGTCTTATTAAATATAACAATGACTACTTGTTCTAATGTATTTGTTTGTAATATATACAACTTAAATAACTTTTATAGTATATTATTAATTTTAAATTATATATTTAATAATATAATATTTATGTAGATATTACATATATTATTTTGTGATATCAATTGCAAGCATATTATATATGTACTTGTTATTTATATTTTTAATTTGTATTAATATACAGTTTAACATGTAAATTTTTTTATGTATTTTTTTACAAAATAAAAATAAAAATAATTTTAACTAAGATAGAAAAATTGAAATTTAAAATAAGATATGAATTTATTAAAATTTATAAGTATAAAATATATTTAACATGAATATTTTTTACAAAAAAAATAATAAAAATCGAGTCATACGGTTCAACTAGTGACCCGCCGGTTCAACCTTTAACTCACTGATTCAGTACCTTAACCGGTTTGATGACCGGTCCGGTTTTTAAAACTATGTTATACAAAGATCTTTGTTAATATTATACACAAGACTGATTTTTACTCATTTATAATATCGCTTTCAACACTTAATAGAGTAATAGAGTTCTTATCTGTTTTGATTGTAAGCTGATTGGGGCTTTGCCAGCTCAGCATGTTCTTCTCTGTTTTGTTGTAAGCTGGTTGGCACTTTGCCAGCTCAGCATTAGTTTGTTAAGTAATTTGTATCTTCCTTCATACTCTTCCTATGAACTATTACAATATTAATCCTTACCGGTATATTCACCCTTCACCATCTCAACTTCCAGTTCAACCTGTCATACAGCCTCAACTCAATCAACCTGTTCCTACACATGGACCCTCTGCCCAAGCCTGTTTCACTTTCACATATCCTCAACCCCAACCCTTTGTTACTAATGTCACTCCTCAACAACAATCACAAAATTGGTTTGTTGATTCGGGCGCCTCACATCATGTTACAGAAAATCCTGGTAATCTCACTACTGAAGTGCCTTTCAACACTCGAGCATGTTTTCTTAGGCAATGGTCAAGGTCTGCCAATTAAATCAATTGGTTCCACTTCTTTTCCTTCCACTCTTAACACTCATACTATCAATGTTACTTGTTCCTAACATTACTAAAAATCTTATATGTGTAAGACAATCAAATTTATTTTGAGTTTCTTCCCTCTCACTATGTTGTCAAATCTCAGATTAATAATCAAGTCTTGTTGCATGGTCATCTATGTTCGGATGGTCTTTATACCTTCCCCAATCTTCTTCAATCATGTGTTGCCAAGTGCTTACCCAATTTTGTTGTTTTGTCCACTAATTGTAAATCCTTTAGCACCGTAAACACACACATCCTGTTAGGTTTTCAGAGATGATAGAAAGGAAAAGGGCTTTATTCATCCCTAAGTTTATTGAATTTTAGAAAAGAATGATTACACAAAGGAGGCTACTCCTTTCACACTGGAATCTATCAGTTAGTAACTTACGAAAAAATGAATGATATCCCCTCATCCTAAACAGATGACTTATTTAAATAAAATCGAAACTAACTAATTGTTACCGAAAACCTAACTAATAAGTCAAAGGATAAAATAGGTTTAATTCCTATTTGTACCCCTCTTCCTATAATACACTTTTAACATTCTATTTGTATCCTGTGGTTCCTGATGTCTATCAATACCTCCCCTTTCTGAAACCACCTTGTCCTCAGGGTGAAAATCTGGAAACTGTGTCTGAATGGTGGCTGCATCTTCCCATGTCGCGTCTTCAGGCGTTTTTCCTTGCCAGCAAATGAGAACTTGAAGTATTCTAGTCTCATCTTGGGTGATCACCCTGCTACCCAGCACATCACTAGGTTGATAGGGCTCCTGTGGAGCTTGTAACTTTGCTGGTAGATTTGCTTCCACCGTATGACTGCCCACAACTTTCTTAAGTTGAGAGACATGGAATACGAATGTATTCGAGCTTCTACTGGTAACTGTAATTGATATGCCACAGCTCCAATCTTTTTGATGATTTGGTAGGGACCATAATACCTAGTTGAGACCTTGGGATGTAATTTGGTTGGCATGGATGTTTGGCGATGTGGCCGGATCTTTAAATAGACATAGTCTCCTGGCTGAAACTCCACCGGTTTCCTATGTGCATTAGTATATTGAGTCATCTGATCCTGAGCACGTGTTAAATGAAACTTCAATTGTGTCAGAACTTCATCTCTATCTCTGAGAACTTGTGCCACCGCCTCGACAAGTGTTTCTCCTGGAATAAACCGTACTAGCGATGGAAGAGGTCTACCATAAACCACTTCAAAAGGTGTACATTGTGCCGATGCCTGAAAGCTTGTATTATACCAATATTCTGCCCACGAAATAAAATCAGCCAAAACCTTAGGTTGTTCATAACTAAAACATCGTAGATAAGTCTCAAGCGTTCTATTTAAAACCTCCGTTTGGCCGTTGGTTTCCGGGTGGTATGTTGTAGACATTTTTAGTTGAGTGCCCTGTCGTGTGAACAGTTCTAGCCAAAAATGACTCATAAAGGTAGGGTCCCTATCACTAATAATCGAAATAGGGATCCATGTAGCCGAATGATCTCTTTCACAAAAATGTCAGCAATAGCTTTAGCGGAGTAAGGATGTTTGATCAGTATAAAATGCCCATACTTACTTAATCGATCCACCACTACCATGATAGCATCAAACCCTTTAGAACGAGGTAAGCCCACTATGAAATCCATGCTGATTTCTTCCCAGATAGCGTTAGGAATGGGTAATAGTTGCAATAAACCTGTTGGAGAAGAGGCTAGATACTTGTTGCGTTTACACATGTGACATGATGCCACATATTGGGTTAAGGTTTTCTTCATGCCAAGCCAATAAAGAGATGACAGAAAGGAAAGGGGCGTTATTCGTCCCTAAGTTTATTGAATTTTAGAATGTTACACAAAGGAGGCTACTCCTTTCACACTGGAATCTGTCCAGTTAATAACTAACAAAAAAAACGAATGATATCCCTTCATCCTAAACAGAGGACTTATTTAAAGAAAACCAGAACTAACTAATTGTTACCGAAAACCTAACTAATAAGTCAAAGGATAAAATAGGTTTAATTCCTATTTGTAAGCCTCTTCCTATAATACACTTTTAACATTCTATTTGTATCTTGTGGTTCTTGATGTCTATCACATCTACCTCTCTTGTGGCACAATAGACTTGGCCATCCCAATTTACAAAATGTACTCAAATTGTGTAACATTTATGTTTCCAATAAAAATGTTCTTGATTTTTGTGTTGCATGTTTATGGGAAAATCTCAAAGAACTCCTCATTTGTCCACTACTGTTTAACCTTCTCCTTTAGAGTTAATTTTCTGTGGTCTATGGGACCAGCCCCTATACAGTCCTCTATGGGATACAAATATTACTGTCTTTTGTTGATGCCTTCACTAGGTATACCTAGATTTACTTTCTTAAAACCAAATTTGAGGCACTCAATACATTCAAACAATTTAAGTCTACGGTTGAGCTTCAACTTAACAGCCAAATTAAATCCTTGCAATCTGATTGGAGTGGTGAGCTTCAGCCCTTTACCCAATATCTTAACAGTTTGGGGATCACTCATCATTTAATATGCCCACACACATCACCGAAATGGTGTGGTTGAGAGAAAACATAGGCATATTGTTGAAATGGGGAACTTTATTATCTCAAGCTTCTCTTCCCATGCAGTATTGGGATCATGCTTTTCACATACCAAACAATCTATCACAAAAATCCTGATTTTACCTTTCTCTAGGTCTTTGGATGTGCTTATTATCCTTTTCTTCGACCATATAACACTCAAATCACGGCTCAAGTATGTTGAGTGCATTTTTTTAGGGTATTCTCCTTCTCATAAAGGATACAAATGCTTGGATAATAATCGTAGGATATTCATTTCCAAAGATGTTCTTTTAATGAACAGAGGTTTCCTTATCAATCTATATCAAAACCTACTGCATCTAATCAATTACCTTTACCTATTGGTCCTCTTGGAGTTCTCTCATTTGCTCCTCAAACACATAATGACCCATTTCATCCTACATCCAAAGTTCCTCCACTACAGCTATGCTAACTCACCCACTTCTTAACCCTCACAAAGCCATCAACCCTTAAATTCACCCACTACAACTACCTCCACTGAAACAACAACCTTTATCCTCTACCACCTAGGAATACTCATCCTATGCAAACATGTGCAAAGTCAGGTATTGTTAAACCTCGACTGCACCCAAATCTTCTCCTCACTACTGCTGAACTGGATGAAGTTCATCTACAAT